TATTGCAGCTACTATCAGGTTATGTTTCTGGCCATGTGCCCAAATAATTGAGAAAATTGAAATCTCACCAAACAATCAAATCTTCCTCTAAATGTCTCCCCAAAAAAATATCTAGTCTGTCACTTTGTATATCTTGTCATGTGCATGAGGGTGTCAAATAGCTAGAAGTTATTAAACCTTCTCTTAACCACCCAAGTCACTCTTGGCATTTTGTATAGATAATAACAAAAAGAATTTTCAAACTTTTGGAGCCAGAGGCTAAAATTTCAGCAATAATGGAGCTCAGGTAAGGGAAACTCTCTCTCTCTCTCACACACACACACGCACACACATCACCAGAATTCAATTTGGGTATGGAGGACCAGTTTTGATCAAGAGTTTCAGATTCTAGAGTTCATGGTCCCAAATTACAATACCAGCCCATCCCAAGTAGTCTGAATTTATTTTTTCTTCCTTATCCTCATGACCAACTAGATGCCTTTTACAATGTTTCTATCTTGTTGGAATCCTTCCAACACTTCCTTTATGGCCTAAAGGCAATTCTCTCTCTCTCTTAGCCCACAGTTCAATAAGATATTGAAAAGAATAACATAAAAATCCCTCATCACCTGTATCTTGGTCTCAAGTCTCATCACCCCTTTGGAAAATATCAAACCCTGTACAGACAGATTCAATTTTCTTTTCTCAAGTTGGTTTGGTATTGAGTAGATTGGTCTCGAGGGCGAGTCGTCCGAGTCATCATCATCGAATCAGGCGTGGCGAAAGATATATCCCGATCATAATGAGACACCAATACCACCTGCATCGTCTCCTACTCGACACAAATCTACCAACCAATGGAAGCCGGATGACTTCCTCAGACGCAGGAGACGCCAACTTTGACAGCAACATGGTGATAATTTTAGCAGCCTTACTATGTGCACTAATATGTGCCCTGAGCCTAAACTCAATAGCACGCTGTGCTTTAAGGTGTGGTCGTAGACTCGCATTTGAGACACCGGAACAGGCTGCGTCGCGTTTAGCCTCAACGGGCCTGAAAAGGGACACATTGAGTGAGATTCCGGTGGTTGTTTACAAGACATCCGGACTGGACTCTCTGGCAACAGATTGCCCGATATGCCTCGGCGAATTTTCGGAAGGAGAGACGGTACGGATCTTGCCAAAATGCAACCATGGTTTCCATGTCAAGTGTATTGATACTTGGTTGGTGTTACATTCATCATGTCCAACATGTAGGCAGCTACTACCTGAACATCCCGGAAGTTCTAATTCTAATGCAGGGGTGGTGGGTGTTTAGAAATTTAGTCTCAGGCAATGGGTTCAGAAAGATAGCCCCCAAGATTAATTTCAACTCAACTCGACTAAGCGTTGTCATTAGACCACTCGTGCGAATTTTATGGTCATACTCGAGGTTCTAGTTTTGAATTACTTTACAGTTTAGATTATCAATGGAACTTGTTGGAGATGGTATGATAGTGAATGAATGTCTATATAAGTAGGTAAAGCTTTAGTTGAGGCAGTTGAAATAGATTGAGTTTCCTCTGTTTGGGTGTTTTGTGTTTTTCCTTTTAATCCAGTGTTGATTTTATGATATATATATATAATATATATATAATATATATATATATATATATATATATATTATTCAACGGTCAAGAATATTTGAACTAATTTACACGCATTTTAACTACTTTCGTCTCCGGTTTGATTAATTTTATGATGTCTGGCCTTATTGATTCATTCAACAACTAGCTCTTAGGGTTGGCACTAGCTTTTGAAATTCTGTGATGCCTTGACTGATTGTCCCAAGAATTTGGCTGTAGTAACCATCTGATATTCCGTGGGATGTTATAAATTCGTAGAATACATCTGAATATGTTAAAGTACAAAATTCAATTTAAAAAAAAAATCGATCCTAATAATTCAATTAAGCTTAATTTTAGAAAATTATACACGAATATTCGTTCAATGCTGTCTTATACTTATGTAGAGATATAAATAATTCAGATGAAGTCATAATCGATCGGATGATGGTATGTTCAAATTCAAATCATCGACATATGAAAGGATTTGGAAGCCAAGAATATCAATCCATATTCAACTAAACGGATTCAAATTCATATCATTAAAATTTGATTCATTAACAAATTTGATAATACTCAAAATATGCTTAAGGTTGAGCTCAAATATTCAATTCGAACCTTTTAAGCTTAGACTGCTCAGCCGCCAGCCCATCACAATGACTAGGGAATTTGAGGTTGGCACCTCCTCCCCAGCAACTGCACCTCTACAGGAATAGCACATAAGACAACTGACTTCCACTCAAGCACCACACATAATGTAATAAATCTTATATTTGGGTAAGGAAGTCGTAATCATCTTAACAATGTCCATGACAATCGCATAAAATGCTCAACCGTTACAAGAAGAAGGCAAGGATCATGTCAAGAATCAAGTAAGGCTTCACCAGACTATAAATAAGAGGTATATTCCTCATAATACAATACAAGCATCTAGTCTAAGCAAATACCCTGTGTAATTTTACCCCTTTTGTCAATAATATTATTCTCAGGAGTAAGAGATTTCCTTCAAAGTAGATTAACCGAGTTCTCGAGTTACTAAACCATTATAAAATCTGTGTAATCCCAACTTCTCTTGTTCAATTCTTACGAGCCTAGGAGCTCCTGGCTGAGCTATTCATTAACCACTAATCCCTAAATATCATACACTCTGCTCAATTGTGTGACATACAACCATCAAAATCTAAGAACAACTTTTTTCTCGAGGGAAATGAGAACTTTCCAAAAACTAAAAAAATCAATCAAAATATAGAAAGAATTTTTCCCAAATACAAGAACGAAGAATACCAAATAAAAAAACAAAGAATCTGACTCTTTCACCCCACCAAAACCATAGGAAATAACTTAGCACCATTAACGAATACTGTTGAACAATCTAAAGAAATACAAGAGATAAGAAAAGAAGAGGCTATAGTTTTATTGATACTACATAATTTAATTGAATACTGGGAAAATATTTAACCTAAATACAAAGGGACTATATATAAGCTAAACAAGGCAGAGAAAGTAAAGGATTATTTTATCCTTAATAAATAAAATAATCCTATATTTCTTAATGTCTCCCCTTAAACTTACGATGCAGCAGCGATAAGTATCGAGAGTTTGCCAACTAAAAAACGAAAACGGGAAATAGAATGCGACTTAGTAAAGAAATCTGCAATCTGCAAAGAAGAAGAAACAAAGGGCAAAGTAATGGTGCCATGCTTGAGATGATGACGAGTAAGGTGACAATCGATCTCAATGTGTTTAGTTCGTTCATGAAAAATCGAGTTGTGAGCAATCTGAATAGAACTCCGGTTATCACAATACATAGGAGTGAGATGAGAAAGAGAAACTCTCATATCTACAAGTAACCAACGTAACCAAACAATCTCTTTGGTAGTAGATGTCATAGCACGATATTCTGCTTCGGTTGAAGATTGAGAAACAATAGATTGTTTCTTGCTCTTCCAAGAAATAAGAGAATCACCCAAAAAGATACAGAAACTAGTAACAGATTTGCGATTTGTAGAATCACTGTCATGATCAGCATTAGAGTATGCACACAGCTCCAAGGAAGAGGTGGATGGAAGTAAAAGACTTTGAAAGACTGTACCCTAAAGATACCTCAAAATACGAAGAACCGCTGTCCAATGAACTGTAGTAGGAGAAACAACAAATTGACTAACAACATGAACAACATATACAATATCTGAACGAGTAATAGTGAGATATACCAAGCTCCCAACAATAGTACAATATAAAGTAGGATTTGACAAAGGTAAACTATCAGAAGAATAATACTTTGCGTTAACCTCAATAGGAGTATCTACAGTCTTATTATCAGTAAGTCTAATTCGCTCAAGAATATCTGTAACATATTTCGACTGAAAAAAAATATAACCTCTGGGTGAGCAGGTTACCTCAATACCCAAGAAATATCATAGAGAACCCAAATTCTTCATTTTAAACTGCTAGCTAACTCTATCTTCCAAACTGAAATACCATTAATATCATCACTAGTAATAATTATGTCATCAACATATAAAGACAGAATGATACGACCTGCATTAGTGCACTTAACAAAAAGAGCAAAATCATGACTACTAGAAGTAAACCCAAGGGAAGAGATCACAATAGAAAATTTCTCAAACCAAGCACGAGGTGCTTGTTTGAGACTATATAACGCTTTCTTGAGCTTGCAAACATACCCAGAATCATGTGAAACACCAGGAGGGGGAGCCATATAAATTTCTTCTTGAAGATCCCCATTCAAGAAGGCATTTTTAACATCAAGTTGAGAGATATGCCACTGACGAACCGAAGCAACTGCAATAAGAGTACGAATAGTAGTCATTTTTGCAACAGGAGTAAATGTCTCCTCATAATCCATACCATACTGTTGAGAGTACTCTTTTGCAACCAACCTAGCTTTGTATCGCTCAATAGATCCATCAGAATTGGTCTTAATCTTATACAACCAACAACACTCTTACCAGGAGGTAGAGGAACCAAATCCCAAGTACCTGTCTTATGCAAAAAAAAAGTTTCTCATCCATAGCTTGCTACAAAGAGGGTCAAGATTGCCTCTTTATAGGAAGAGGCTCAGAGGACAATGAATAGAAGCTAAAAAGGAAGTAAAAGATGAAGATAACAAGAATAAGTAAAATCTATAACTTTGTGGACTTACGAATGCATGTGGATTGACGTAAATCCACAATCTCAAACGGAGCTTAAGGGACCATAGGAGAAGAGGTAACTTCAGGTGTGCTAGAGAGTAAAGTGTCAGTACCTGTAGAATGATCAGTGCTGGTATTTAAAGTACTAGAAACCTGAGATGAAAAACTATTAGAATTCTCAAAAAAATGATCTATACGAATAAGATTAGATCTAGTCAAGCTATAAGTAGTGGATGAAATAGAAAAGAAAAGTATATGCTCAAGAAAAATAACATGACGAGACACATAAAATTTTTGAGTTATTGGATCAAAAAAACGATACCCTTTTTTACCTTTATCATAACCAAGAAAGACACAAATAGTAGATCGAGAGGACAACTTGTTGCGTTCAACATAAGCACGAAGAACGAAACAAGTACAACCAAAAACTCTAAATGAAGAATAATCAGGGGCATACCCATACAACTTTTCGAAAGGAGAAACACCTGAAATATGAGAAGATGGAATTGTATTAATCAAACCTACAGCAGTAAGAACATCTTCACCCCAAAACTCACTAGGAATAGAAGAAGACAACAAGAGAGAACGAGCAGTTTCAACAATGTGCCTATGTTTTCTTTCAGCAACACCATTTTGCTCAGGAGTATATGTACATGAAGTTTGGTGAATAGTTCCATCTAAGACAAGCAACTCATCAAATTTATTGGAAGTGTATTCCCCACCCAAATTATACCTAAAACATTTGATAACAACAGAATGTTGAGTTTTGACAAGAGCTCGAAAGACTGTATATATCTCAAAGAATTCAGAACGATGTTTCATTAAATAAATCCAACAATAACGAATACAATCATCAATAAAAGAAACATAATATCGAGACCATCTTTTTGTAGCAATAGGAGAAGGTCCCCATACATCAGAATGAATCAAATCAAATGGAGAAAAAGAAATAGAAATACTTCAATTAAAAAGTAAAGCTGAAAATTTTGCCAATTTACATCCACTACAATCAGAAATATCACAAGTTTGTAAATTTTCTAAAGCCCCTGTGGATGCCAAAAATCTCAAACGAGAAGACGAAACATGACCTAAACGAGAATGTCATAAATAAAAACTAGAAGAAGAAGGACTCAAACGAAAAGAAGATAAATCAACACTAGTAGCAGTAGCAGCAGCAGCAACTGACACTTTTAACTCATCCAAAATATATAGTCCCCCCTTTCTACAACCTGTCCCAATTAGCTTCTGAGACAGTAGATCCTGCACATAACAAGAAGAAGAGGAAAATGTGACTAAATTTTCAGAATCACATAACTGACCAACATAAGCAAGATTTAATGTGAGTTTTGGAATATGATAAACATTAGGCAGAGACAAGTGATGTGTGACAACATAACCAACACCTGCTAAAGACATAGGAGTGCCATCAGCAGTCATAACAAGAATAGAAGATGAAGGAGATACAAAAGCAAAAGATGAAGAATCTAGAGACATATGATGTGAAGCACCAGAATCCAAGACCCATACAGAATGTGACATACTTGAAGAACTATGAGGCAACTGACCTCCTGAAGAAGAAGCAGACATAGCTTGTGGCTATAAGGAGAGAAACTTCTGAAATTGCTCAGCCAAGGTACTAGAATCGGTGAAAGGACCTGATGAAACTACTGCTGCATTATTAGACTGTGGTGGTTTGTAACCCTGAGGTGGTCTAGGAGCATTAGATTGTGACTGGTTATCAGACTTCCAAGCTTGAGATTGCTGCTGCGATTGATTCTACTGTCTTAACTTAGGACATTGAATGACTTTTTTGCTTACAAAAATTGCACTTGTCGAAGGCAGACCTTGTGTAAGGCTTATTCTGATTATGAGAGAATGGTTTAGAAGGTACTGCTAGCACAGAAGGATCAGAAATAGAAAAAATTCCCTTGTCAGAATAAGACTTAAGACGTATCTCTTCAGCCAATAACTCACTGACAACTGAGTCAACAGAAGGAAGTGGAGAACAATACAAAATTGAACCTCTAAGTCCTTCAAAATCACTACAAAGTGCCATTAAAAATTATACCAATCGTTGCTGCTCTCTACGAGCAATATAGACACCACATGCCTTTAATTCAGTCGATTCTGTAAGAACCAATTGATCCCAAAGATCTATCATAGCAGAATAAAATTCCTGAATACTCATATTCTTCTGCTGAAGAGCTCGTATGTCATGCTCCAATTGATACTGCTTTGTAAAATTTGATTGAGTGAATAACCTTTGCAGATGATCTCAAACCTCATTTGTTGTCTCATACTTTGCCAACTGCGTACCTATAGAATGCTCAACAGAATTGTTGATCCAAGTAATAATTTTTGCATTGTTTGCTTCCCAGACATCTATCAAATAAGCATAACTCGCATCAGTATTCTTAGGTTTCACAGAAGTTCTACTAACATATCCCCATAGTTTTTTACCCTTAAAAAATTTCTCATCACATAACTCCAATACAAATAATTCTTTCCATCCAACCTCACACTCACAGACGGAAGCGAATCGTCTCTTGCAATAGCCATAATCAACAAACAAAGAAAATCAGATTGCAAAAACGGAACAAATACCAGATTGCTTAAACGGAACAAATACTTTCTAAACTGTGTTTGAGATTAAGCCTTGTCCCATGAAACTTTACTTTGATACCATGTTGAACAATCTAAAGAAATACAAGAGACAAGAAAAGAGGAGGCTAGAGTTTTATTGATACTGCATAATTTAATTGAATACTGAGAAAATATTTAACTTAAATACAAAGAGACTATACATAAGCTAAACAGTGCAGAAAAAGTAAAGGATTATTCTACCCTTAATAAACAAAATAACCTTATATTTCTTAACAAATACAACAAATATGATTATTTTATGAAAAATAAATAAAAATTATTTTTTTAGAGAAGGAGGGGATGGTTCGTAGGAGAAAAAGGTGAATATGACGAGTTCATGACAAAGAAAGGGAAGTCGCTGGTACCATGGGCCCTGGTGGGTGATCTTGGGGTCATCGGAGATCTTGAAACGACGCCGTTGCGGCGGTATATATTATCGCTGCTTCTTCTCGGCCCTTTTTCGGCCCATTTGAGCTCTTGTTGCTTCACTGTACTTGGGTACCGCTTACAACACCCTACATGTCCAGCTCTTATTAAGAAATTAAATTTTTAGACACACTTGAGCTGGGTACAAAATTAAAAGTAAAAATGTAACAAGAAAATAACTGAATCAAATAAAAAAATTGATATTACCGGTTGCGGAAGAGAGAGAGAGAAATAAAATCTATATGTATGAATAACTATGGGTACCGGTAATTGGTAGAGAATGAGTCAAAGATACTAAGAGTATGTTTGATTGGGTATTATGGGATGAAATTGGACTAAATTAGTTTAATGATTATTTAATAATAGGTTTGGACATATTATCGAACCTGTCTTTAATGACTTTGCTAATATCGAACTATTGATATAATGTCAGCTACCACATTCTTTGTATGAATCAATATAATATAGTGGTAGTATTGAATATAACATGATTTGTAGTTATATCTAACTTACTAGAGTACCCATAATAGGTAGAGAGTAATGCATTGCAACAGGACGCTCTCTGTATTTTCATTTACATGTTACTCTCATCTAAAACATGATATTGATATTAAGAAAAGATTAAAACCTTGATCTAAACATGGGATAATCGAGATAGCATAAAGTTATAAACCCATGACATTGAAATTATTTGTCTAATCTCATTCTACCTTATACCCGAACGTAAAAGCCCTAAATCTACCTATAGACCATAAGCCCATGGACCAGAAGACGGGCTAGGCGACGAAATGGGCAAATGTTGATGGAGATTTGGACTGCTGTGGGATTAGGGGTGCAATTCTGGAAGGGCTCAAGCCCAATTCACGTTCTAAAACTTTCAGCTCAAACTCATCTTTTAACTTGAATATGGTCCAAGCTAATTTCGGACTCAATTCAGATTGGTTCGGATGAACTACTTCGAGCTTGTGATTCGGTTGAATTAGGTTTTGTAATTTGACATGACACAATAGTTTGACAAACTTAAATTCAAAATAAATTCAATAAAAATCTAAAATACACTTAAATTTTGTGTATATATATTTATTTATTTTAATTTTGGGTTAAACCCGAATGGTGAATTGTTGAACTTGATTTTATTAATTCAGGTTAGATTCAAGTTGAACCTGTGAACTTGAAACTTCCACCAGACTCCCGAGTATAGATCAAATTCAATTTGAATCGAGGTTTTTTAACCCAAATTCAATCCACGTTTTAAAATTTTCAACCCAAACAATATTTTGTTCCGGTTAATCCGCTCAAATTAGTCTCTTGTGTAGGACATTAACTAAGTTGTGGTGCCCACGCGCTTTGCCGGCCTAGTTGAAGAAATACTTCATCAGCCACAATCCATTGCCCAACAAGTTCTAATTATATGCTTGTGGGGGCTATAGACAAAGACTTGCGCTCATGCCATTGTAGGAAAGAACTTTTAACTTATAAGGAAAAATATGAAGAAGGGTTACCTTTGGCTGAATTTTTTCCCTAAGCACTCGATACATTTTCTTCCTTCTGTCATCTCCTCCATGCCTACGCTCACACAGTACCTGCAATAGGCTCTTCCACAGACCTGCACATACATTGGCTCATGTTCTTAGCAGGGAAAAAAAAATTAAAACTTAAAAAAAAATAGTAACACTAATACTATTAGGACATAATTTTGAGATTTAATGTTTTGTAACAATTAAATTGATAGTTGAATGCATTCAATACTAAAACCTACTGATAATCAATAAGGCCAATTTTTTATATAAGAGGGGATATATATTATTCTTACCAGATGTCGGAAAATATAGGTGTAGGTACTGCAAATGGTGCATATGTTAGAGTGAGGAATCCCTTGTCGCCGTCGTCCTCCTCTCTCTAGAGTAGGTTTCTTGGAAGCCATGCTCGTGCCGCTCAAGTGACTTATGTCATCATAAACCACGCTACTCTCAAATGCAGGTCTAAAACCTAATAGACTTGCTTGATGTTCATGATGGTGACCATGTGCACCCGTGTGATCACGATGGTGCACATAGTCACCATCGTGAGTCTCTCTGTTAACGAGATGATGGCCTCGGGACATGTGCAGGCCATTTTCGTTAACGGGATGACTTCGACGATTCCTAGGTGAAACAACAACATTGAGAACATGGTGGTGATTATATTGATTCGAGGATGCTTGTAAGCCTGAGTTGAAGTTTAGGCTTGGGAGTGTGGGTATTGGTGGTGATGTTGATGATAGTGACCCTTCTTTCTTTGGGTTCACCTGAGAAATGAACTCGATTTTGGCAGACTTTTTCTTTTCCAAAGAGATGATTTGTTGTTGCTGCACTTGAGCAAGGTCTTGAAAGGTGAGGTTCACCGAATCATCGGGGACTCCTAGATACAGGTCTTCTAGCTCCCTTCTTGCCTTAGCCAATGTTGCTATGTCCCCCATTAGTCCTCAAGGTTGTGTGTGTGTGAGAAAGAGAGAGCGAGGGAGAGAGAGAGAGGATTGTTTGAAAGAAGAGACGGAGGTGGTCTATCATTATTTGCAATGAAACCGGTGCAAATAAATAGTACAAGGCCAAGATGGCTTGGCCAGTTGCAATAAAGAAAAATAAATTTTGTAAGGAAATATCGCCCCTTTGCTTCACAGATATACGAGTCTCGACAATTTATTGGGTTTTATTGGGTTCAGGTTACGAAAGATTTATCGTTCATGAATATCTTAGTTTTGGTGTGAATGATTTATTTTTGATTAGACCGAGTAGGGTATTAATTTAAGTGTGTATATACTGATTCATACACATCTGATTATTAAATAGGAAAAAAAAAAGTGGAGTCAAATGACCTGTTTTCCATTTCTCTATTGAATAGTGGAAACCAAATATATTAATTTCAGCTTGCGCAATGATCCATCGAAGAGGAAAATTGCGTTTTTTATACAGATCAGATGCATCACTCTTATAACAAGGGAATGTTTGTTTCGAGGATTGTTATGAAAAGTATTGAGAATTGTCCTCCTTATATTTTTAATACTCATGAAAATTAGTATCGATAATAGAAAATATTTTAATCCCCTCCCATATTTGTTAGTTTAATAACTACTATAGTGAGTTTTATAAACAGTCATCTATTCTATCACATCTTATATAACAAATATATAATTTTATCCTTACCATAATTCCATTTATCTATTCCAGATGTATGTACAAAAAAATTTGTAAAAAAAATTGGTGATACTGTATGCTTAAATATAATATAAGAAAAAATTCAAAATAATTTTTTTTAAAAAAATTAAAAAAATTGATGATACCGTACTCTTAAACATAATATAAGAAAAAAAAAATTCAAAATCAAAATATTTTTTAAAAAAAATTAAAAAAATAGTGACACCGTACATTTAAACATAATTTAAGAAAAAAAATTTAAAAACAAAATTTTTTTAAAAAAAATTAATAAAATTAAAAACAAAAAAACCGTTGGTATTACGACCCGAAAAAAAATACCACACGAAAAAAGATAAACAAACAAAATATTGCTAGGCGCCATATACTATTTTCCCTAATCCCACCTCCTCGTACCACCATTATCCTTCCAAAAAACATGCCCTTAGGGCTTGTTTGGATGATTTTTGGAGAAAGGTTTAGATTAACTTCTCAAAATCCTTCCAACCCCAAACCTTTTTTCGTAAAGAAGAAATTAACATTCAATTCGGTCCATACCTATATTTAGGGGTGTCCATGGACTAGGCCGGGCCGGGCTAGGCCCGTGAAATTTTTTTTTGGACCGGGTTTGGGTAGTGTAAGTCGAAACCGTTACCCAAGTGAGTAATTGGGCGAGCCGAGGTAGGCTAACCGGAGCCCAACCCGTGAGCCTATTGTGCGGGCCTACTTTTAAAAATAATAAATATTTTTGTAACTTAACATTTGTGTAAATTATATTTTTGAATCAAAAGTAAAGTCAAAATAGATAAAAATAAAATAATGAACTACATCCAATAGAATGAATAAATCTCAACTAGGTTGACACTTATTAACATATCAATCGTTGATATTACTCTATCATTTAAAAATTATATGTTTAATATATGAAAAAAAAAATAATACATTATTTATAATATCTAAATTTTTAAAATTTCAAATTTCGATATTGGGAGACTTGTTTCAAAGTTTTAAATTTAATGGTCTAAAAATATAACTTTTTTTTCAAAGGAAGGGAGGGTGGGTGGCTTGGGCTTGCGGGCGGGTGGGCTTGAAGGGCGGGCTCTTGGGGCGGGCTTCGGGCCAAGTAATGGATTTGGGGGTAAATTCTAGCCCTCTTTTTAAAAATATTGGGCTTGGGCTTGGGCGGGCCTATTTTTTTCGAGCCGGGTAACGAGACCCGTGGATAACTTGGTCCATGGACACCCTTACCCATATTTGGTATGCAACACATACACATGCAGGACTCACATATATATTATAATTATTAACAACTATTTATCCTGTATATGACTATTTTACTTTTGATCAATTCAATTCATATCTATATTAAGGGGTACAATTGTCATTTGGATCCTTAATCCCTTATCCATCTTCTCAAATCCACCCTTCCCTTACGTTTGACGAAACCCATAATTATGGGTTTAATTTTCGGGCCAGCTACAAAGGGTTTAGAAACTTGGGACTGAATTTTTCATACAAACATGAGATTTGGGGGTCCTTTGGATTGTTTGGTATATGGGTTTTTTTGGAGGGGGGATTTGGAACATGGATTGGGGAACAAAACCCATCAAACCCTTGTTTGATAAATACATAGCTAGCCCAGGGTATGAAACCCAGCCCGCTTTAGGCCAGGAATTAAACCTAAGTTGATGGGTTTCATGAAACTCAGTGGGGGATGAGCTTCATATGTGGGTTAAAGGGTTGAACATACAAATGACATTTATACCCTCATACATCCAATATATCTCATATACCCTATATTACCTTATTCACACATCTCTCTAAACTGACATCCATCAGTTAACACATACATAAGATTCTCATAAAGTTCCTGAAGAACTAACCTACGATTGATCAACACAGACAAGATTCTTCTGGAAAATACACTGACCTGCAAAAAATCTTTGAAAAATCTGTGGGAAAGACCGAATGCAGAGACCCCCCTGTTGTTCGCTGGAAACGAATGAAGAAATCAACCCCTCATTTTGTTCGATCTGCAAAAAATCTTTGACAAATTTGTGGAAAATTTGTTGCAGAGATATCTTTCAGCCTATATCAAGTCAATCATTGTTCGGAGATGCTTCGTTTGCCTTATATAAACCCCTCCTATTGTTCGATTGAAACACACCAAGCCGAGGTAATTCTTCTCATCTTTGCACAATCCTTGAGTTCTTCACATGTGTGAGGTGATAGTGTATTTTGGCACCTTTTTTCAACCCAACAAACCCATCGAAAGCTCACTGAGAATCCCTATGTTTGCTTTTGATAAATATTTTCGTAGATCTACCAATTTTGATAGCTAACTGTTTGAAGATTTTTCTTAGATTTGTGTTTGATTGTCTTCTTAGAAAAATGTTACCACACTTAATTCAAATGAAACAGTTGGAACAAAGAAAATTGTGAAAATGAACAAAAATTTGACTGGTATTAAGAAATAGGGTGTAGAAATAAAACCTTAGAAATCATTATTGGAGAGGGAGACACTATTCATCAGAGGTCTGAGGTGGGGTGGTTGTTTGGAATGCTGTGAAATTTGTTTTTTGTTTTTGTTATTGGTAATATCTTCAACTTAATTTTGTTCTCTATTTTTTTTATTTCAGCTTGGTCTTAATGTTGCAATTTCACATTTACATTGAGCATCTGTGAGGGCTGGGTTGGGGGTGGTTGTCTGTAATGTGCAGTGCATCGGAGATTTGGAGGTTAGTGAAAAATTTGGTGAAATATGGTTTTGTTCATACCTTCTTCTATGTCAGGTTTTATGAAAAATTGATGTTCAAGTTTTGTGGTTTGATTGATCAAGTATATATACAAAATGATGCGGTGTTTATGTTGCTACTATAAATCATGCTGCATCTCTCTTTCATTTGATTCACTTCACTGTTATCTCTTTTGTGCAATGCACTGATTGAATGTTGAATTTCTAAATGTTATGCATATGTTAGTAAGTATTTGGCTATTATGCAAATAAACTTAAATTAATTTTTGCGTTTTGCTTGATCAAGTATATCTGTATAGATTCCAAAGATATATAGGGTCCGAAGCAAAGGGGGGTTTTCTTCAAACAAGGTTATTCAGAAAAAGAAAGAAGTGAATATACTTGATTAACCATGTTTTAAATTAAGTTTATAATTAATTTAAGAGGACAAAATATAAATATATAATATTCCTCCTTCAAAGCAGACGACTTACTTGTATACTCTTTCTACATGTTTTTTGACTATCTAGAAGTCTTCTGTTGTAAGAAAATTTGCTGGTCCATGGAATATTAGCTAAGAATTATTGGAAAAAAGTGGGAATGTGTTGTGAAGAATAAAGATGTGTGTTTTTTTTTCTCCTGTTTAGAAGTTAATCCTCACGGATTCTAAGGGAATTCAAGCAAATTATCTTTAAAAAGGAAAAAAAACACAGCTAATAATTCTTGACTGATATCTTATTCACTATATTTTCTCTTCAATATCTTTTTTACTGATTATTTAGCATACATTAAAATGAGATTGATTATATACAAGTTCATTCATTAATAGTAGATGATTTACTCCCCCCAAAAAGTTGAAGAGCAAATAAATATATTGAAAGAGATGTGTAAGGAAAAGACAAAATGTATTTGAAGGTGAAGAGGATATTGGTTGTTTGATGGCTTAAATCTAAGAATTTGTATTTATGTTGGACTTTTATCTTTTTAAGAAAAACATTACATATGCTAAACATGTTTTCTTGAGTTAGCAAGTCTATGATGACATTTGACCCAAAGAGAATTCATAATTCAGCTTTCCCATTTTCTTCGTCAAGTCCATCAAACAACATCAAACAGAACCAATGATCTTTTGGTCTTATGGTACTCTTTGTCTTATGAAAGAGCTGTCTTCTTGAGGTCAATGATTCAATCTCTCTTCCCCCTCTCCGCCCCCAAATTTTTTTTTTTTAAAAAACAACAGCGAGAAAATCAATAGATGTGAGCTTTTTATAACCAATTCAATGATGTTTAATATGATGTAATGGGAATATGTCTGTTCAATTTGATGTATTTGGGAATGGACATATTTAAAGTAAATGTCAGAAAGTTGCATTGTCTTGTTGGGTTAATGTTTTATTACGCTTTATTATAGTTATAAATAATAGTTATATTTTATCAACATTGATGATAATTTCATAAGTTAGGAAGAAAAAATTAATCATATATTAAAATCATAAGAATACAATAAAATGTACGTAAAAAAACATGAATTTGAATTAGATTGGTTAAAAGACA